ACATAAATGCGTTAGTTTAGTATTTTTGGTCCACTTTATGGGTTATATATGCATGTATATTTAGGGTGCTCAAAAAATCATTGTAATTAAGCGTAAGCATTGCACAACAAGAGCAATCAGATGTATGTCATCAAATACGATTTACGCAGTAAAAATTAAGCTACAAATCAAAAATAACCAACCAATATCCACAAGCGATTGCTCACTTTGCATATTTGACAAGTTCACTTTCCTGTTCGCATGACCCAAATTATCAGGGCAGCAAGTTAAACACCGGCGAGAGTGAGCAGCACTCAAAAACAAAAGCAATATTCAGTAAAGTGAAAATGCATAGGCAAATACAGACACATATAATATATATGAGGGGATTAACAAAAGTTCGGTAAAAGAAAATTTTTTTTTTTTGTATTTATTCGTAATTTCAATGCATTTACAAATCTTTGTTTTAAGCTTATCAAGTTCCGCATTAACCGCATTAATCATCTCCTCGTTGCTATTAAAGACTCTTCTTTTTATATATTTTTTAAAACTTTTTTTTTAATAACCAGAAATCACAAGGTGCAATATCCGGCGAATATGGTGATGGACGTATTTCTTCAATCCCAGAGATCGCAATAAAATTACTCGTTAATTCAGCAGTGCGAGATGGCGCGTTGTAATGACGTAGAAAGTAGCGCCGCAAATCCTCTTTCTTCCTGTTTTCTAAGAAATTTTTGAAAACTTTTGGTAAGCATTCTTCGGTGTACCCCTTTCCAGTTACCGTCCGACCCTTTTCCAGTAGAAAAGCAGCTACGAGGTGCTGATTTTTGTTGCTTAGATCTTATGAGTAGGTTTGCTTATGTTGGTCTCCATACCACGGACTGCGGTTTGATTTCGGAATCGTTATTATAGAACCAAGTTTCGTCACCAGTAACGACTTCGCCGAAAAGAGTAAAGTTGTTGGGCTGACTATTTTCTCACTATAGCTGCAGTGACGTCAAAAGTGGAAGACTTTGATTGCTTCTCTAGGGAAAAATTTCTAGTTTGGAGTCTTAGGAAGCACTTAGGTATAGTCTTAAAAGACAGTAAAATGGTTTCTTAAATAATTATCATAATTCACTAAAAATTTGTTTTGGTTGTAAATTACGCGGAAACCGGAAAGGAATCACGAATTTCTATTTGAGTTGTTGATGGAATTTCGTCTGACCTATCCTCAACTATCTTGCGTTTTCTCGTCGATCGTTCTAAAATTTGAAAGAAGTACTAATTAATAAGTTACAAAGAATTTGGTATTTTTAGATTTAATAAAAACAAATTGAAAGTTACCCACTAGTCGAACTTTTGTTAATCACCTCGTATGTAAAACAGCTGCATCTTCGGTGGTGCCCACATGAGGTGAATTTTGTGAATTTACTCATTTATATTCATGTGTACCTATGAAAAAAATTTTACAAATAAACCCATTGTCTGTATATTAAACTCGCATTTCTTTATTACTGCCCCTCCTTTGCTTCATATGCACTTTGGGGGGCAGTGGCCGGTCACACATTGCCAATATCCGTGTTAAACTTTCGTTTCTCGCTGCACAATTTCCTGCGCATTGCAGTCGCCGTCGGTTGACCGACTGCTGATGGCGTTTTGAACGTGGAAAGTTACAGTTCGCCGACGAGGGTGGAAACAAGTGTTGTTCGTTGTCTGTTATGTTGTTATTGCATAGCTGCGCGACTTGGACTAAATTGTTTTTTTTTTTATCGAAAGAAATTAAATAAAGTAAAACTTAAAATTTGAAGATTCTATTGTAGTTTAGTATAAAAAATTGGCTTTAATCCATAAAATGTTTATAACTTATTTTAAATAAATTATTCCGAGTTTTTGTGGTTTCTTTTGTTGTAGATATTTTTATTGTTGTTGTGCTGTTGCTGCTGTTGTTGTTGTGAAAATTATTACGGTACTTAGTGAGCACTTTAAATTTCCTTTTTCGTAAATTTCGTTGTTTGCTCACTTTTTTATTTAAATTTTGAAATTTATTTCCAACCAAAAACTGGCGTTGCTAATTACTTTACGCGCCTTCTGCCTTCTTTGGGTAGTATGCAGTCTGTTGGTAGCAGTGGATGCGCCAAAAAGCCAACATTAATTACGCAAGTTTGCATATCGCAAGAAAGCTTGGCTTCTTCTCACCTTTTGCCAGGGTTCACTGCGCACTAATTGGCGGCAATAAGAGCCCTGAGAGGGTCGAAAAGCTCTAAATAGGTTTCTTTAAGTCTCTAGGCAAAGTATTGGGGAAAGTTTTGACATGTAACGGGAAATTATGACATGCGCTGGGTCATTAGTTACTGAACGAAGGAGTTCAAATACTCATTATTGCGCCAATTATTTTAAAAAGAAAGCAGAAACAAAAGAAGAACGAGCTACTCAGTGCAGTATTTTGAAAAGGCGGAAATAATTAACATTAATTTGCATTAGGGGCAAAACGTTGAGTACAGACCAGTGCTGTTATTCGCAAATGAGGAATTTATTTTTATAAGATGTAAAGGAATTTAATATATTCACACAGCAGTTGGGCAGGATATAGGGGTATTTGTTTAAAAAATAAAAAAAATAATTATTTCAAACAAACTTTTTATTCAGCTTTTCTTAAACTTTTAATAAATAATCTGGAGGTTTTTAACTATACTCCGTAGTGGTGTCAGATAAGTTCAGATGTTGTTAGAGCTGCCCGCTACAGGAAATAGATATGCAACTCTAAAACCGTTGATTTTTGTAAGTCTTCCGTTTTGTAAAATTGGCAGAAAAAGTTTCATTATTATCCAATAACCAATTCATTTATATTTTAATCGAAGTATTTAGAAAAAGAAAAAAAGCTAACTATCAAAAAGTGTGAACATTTATATCAACATCAGCCTTATGATATCCTCCTTTCTTTGGACTATCAGCTTATATTGTATTTTCCCCCTCTTTTGGTATCAGTACTAATTCCAAAAACAAAAGTAGGCCCATTATGAGAATCGCTTTTTTTAATACCAAAACACTCAAAAGTGCAGTGCAGAACAAGAGCGGAAGTGGCTGTCAGTATTACTGATTTCTTGTTCTTGTTTTCTACATCAAATGTAAGTGCTGTGATTTCCCTATGATTTGTCAATGCAAAAGGGGATTATTTCAAAGCATTTTCACCAATTTTGGTTTGTCAATAAGTCGGTTGGAAGTAACCAAAGCCACTGAGTTACTTTGATAGATTGTATAACGGTGGACTTACTACTATTACAGCTTTTGAAGTAAGCCCTGTTTGTTTAAAGGAAAGAAAATAAAAACTAAAAGAAACAACGAAAAAAGTGTGGTAAAAGCAAATGTGGCTTCTATAATACTTTTTTTTTAAACCTCTACTTGATTGATTAGTAAAACTAAATACTATTGGATGAGTGCATAAGTTCGTGCCCGATTCCCCTCAATGCCGTTCGAATCGTTTGAGAGTGGCGCTCGTGATACACATTATATATCGTTGGAAAGGTGACAGTCCGAACTGTAAATCAAGCATAAAACAACTTCATTTTGTAGACGCATGGAAGATGGACAACGAAAAAGACCGTATGCGTCATATTATGTCATACGAATTCCGCGAAGGAAAAACAGTAGGCGCTGCAACTAAAGATATTCGCGAAGTTTATTTGGACCGTGCTCCAGCACTCCGCACAGTAAAGAAATGGTTCGCGAAATTTCGTTCTGGAGATTTTAACCTCGAAGATCAACCTCGCAGTGGACGGCCTTCTGAGCTTGATGACGATGTTCTAAGGACTTTAGTTGCGAATAACTCACGTATTTCGACGGAAGAGGTTGCCAGTGAATTGAACGTCAACAAATCAACTGCGTTTCGTCGTTTAAAAAAGGTTGGGTACACTTTGAAGCTCGATACATGGGTGCCACATCAGTTGAGTGAAAAAAACAAAGTGGACCGTATGTCAACAGCAATTTCTTTGCTTCGACGGATCAAAAACGAACCTTTTTTGGATCGGCTCGTGACTGGTGATGAAAAATGGATCCTGTACAACAATGTTCAACGCAAAAGAACATGGAAACAGGCACACGAAGGGGCGGAACCGATGTCGAAAGGTGGATTGCATCCGATGAAGGTACTGCTGTGCATTTGGTGGGATATCCGAGGCGTGATCTATTTTGAGCTCTTGCCAGCTGGAGAAACGATCACTGCCAACAAGTATTGTCAGCAATTGGTCGAATTGAAGAAAGCAATTGATGAAAAACGTCCGATTTTGGCCAATCGCAAAGGAGTTCTTTTCCATCATGACAACGCCAGGCCACATGTTGCAAAACCGACCCTGGCCAAACTGAAGGAGATGAATTGGGAAATCATGCCGCATCCCCCATATTCACCCGACATTGCACCTTCTGATTATCATTTGTTTCGATCGCTGCAGAACAATTTGAATGGAAAAAAATTTAAAAATGTGGAAGACGTCAAAAACCACCTTGACACCTTTTTCAACGAGAAACCGCGCGATTTCTATGAATCAGGCATCCGTAAATTGCCGAACATGATGGCGAATACATAATTGATTAATAAAAGCGCTTTTTTCAAAAAATTTCAATTTAAGTTTGCACTTGAAATCGGGCACGAACTTATGCACTCATCCAATAATTAATACTAAAATTGCTTTATTTTTTTAATTAAATAAAAAATGCTAATAAACTTACATACAAAACGTATTAAATATACACTTATAAGCCAAAATAAGTTAATAATTTATGTATGGAGTGGGTGAGTATGTTAAGTGTATTGAATGGAGCACAGGAGTGTAAAAAAATAATCAGAGTCCACTGACCTCATTCCGACGCCCAGAAGATAACTGAGGCTGCGCAGCCGTCTAAGAAAAGAATGCTGGTATATGACATTTGAAAATCTACTTTATTTTTTAAATAAAATATATTTGTGTTTATGAATGAAATAAAAATTAATTTTTCATATCTTAAAAAAATTTTTAAATTTAATTAATAAATCAAGCTTCCACAGTTCCTTTAGATAAATTTTTTTTTAATTTTTTTAACCACAAAGGTTTTTCGTGATTATTTCAAACGAAATTCCAACAAATATATTTTGCAAAACTTAGCTCCTACTTCTTACTCCGCTGTCGCCATACCCACCGAGTTGTGTAAGAAGTTGACGTTAACTGTAAAATCGCTGATGAGTCCGTATAAATTACTATGAAACTGCAACTCGGCTAAATCATCCAAAGAATATTCAAATTTCCCTTCATCATTGACAAACATATTCAGCCCCACAATCGACACATTTGTCTTCGACTGCTTAAGAATTCCGAACTTTAATTGCTTACTTGCCCGCTGGCAAACGATTAGAGAAGAGTGTAGAAATGATTGCTGTAACACCGCTAAAATCCCCCTTACTGTTGTAGCAGTATAATTGCACGTAGCATTTGCTGTTGCTTGTGGAGTTTAACAAAGTTTGCGGCGCGCACGATTTCTTCCTTTCTACTTGCACTGTCTTCAAATCGAAATGTGCTTGCCTAAGAAAATGAATAAAGTTTTCATTTATGCCATTCGCCTTTCATGTAACGGTTGGGAATTATGGATTATTTTAATGTCTTTGGCAATTTAAATTAAAAATTTTGATTTGAAATGCAGATTAAAGCTGTGGAGCGTTTTCATTTCGCATAGAGCTGGATTCTCGGCTACAACGTTAAATTAATTGAAACCATTTAAGATTTCCAAAAATGAAAAATACAAAAAATTGTATTTGCGTAGAACTTCCTGTGATAGAAGCAAAACTTTTCTTGTAGTATGCAAAATATAGAAATAGAAAAAGAAATTTATGCTCTTTTTATCTTAATTTTTAATAGTTCACAAAACTATGCGAAAGAGATACTGCCCAAAAAGTAGTGGAAAATTCGCCAGGCGGTCATACGAATGGTGTGGATTTCTAAATATAATACCAACGAAAAAAAAAAAATAAAAAAACAATTTTGTAAAAAAATTTTAATTTTTTATTAATTCATTTTAAATTCATTAATTCATTTTGAATGCATTTATTTTCGTTCAATATTAAAAGTAAAATTATAATTCTGTACATATTAGAATATCTGAGCTTTTTGAAAATTATATTCTTCTCAAACAATAAAATCATGAATTTTTTATTGCTTTCGATCAAATGCGCTTCTATACCGTATCCATAATAAATATCCAATTTTATAAATAATAATAAATGAATATGCGCAAAGACACACAAGAGTGTAAAAAATTGAATTAAAAATGTAATTGGTTCACTTGGAGGAAGTCTGAATAGCAGACTCTTCCGTTGCGCATATTAAGGAGACATACATAAATATGAACATTTGCATTGCACATAAAAACGGAAAGCCTTTCCTATAAGCGGATGTGACATACTCAACAGTGCATGCCAAAAATAATCACCCAAAAAACTAATAAATTACGTACAAACATACACACAAATTGGCGCAGAAGGGAATTAGTGCGAGTAAAGTAAAATGCACATAAGCAAAAAGAGGCTCGAAAGTGAGTGAGGCTACATCTCCCAGCCAGCATCAGCTGATAACAGACAAGCGCAGCGACTTTCTGAAAAAAAGGTTTGAGACAACCGCAAACCCGCATCACTAGCACTTCAAAGAGCCAGCCTCCACCACCAACCATCAAGCTCGGTAGCCTAAACAGCTTCGGCTTGACACAGCTGCTTTTGGCACATTTCCCCGTTTCCTACAGCGATTTTTAGTTGATTTTTTGTGTTGAGTGATCCGAATTGTGTCTCAACGCATATTGATTCTGTGCATGTATGTATTTTGGTATGTATGTATGTATGTATATATGTCTATACATTTCCTCTATCCATTCATTTTACTATATATGTAATTGTTGAGCCTAAAACGCTTAAAGCAGCATTTGTGTTGAATATAATTTAAGATAAATTTTTTTTAAGTCTTCAAACTTTTTATTTCTCTTACTCATAGTCTTCGCTTAGGATGATGAACACAGCAGCACTTTGCAACCATTGATTGACCTTTGCGGAAAAGCCCACTTAAGACAAAAACGAAAAGAAGCTCTTTCCAAAAATGCCCAGTCTTTTGAGACTGGAACATTTATAAAGAACTATCTCTTCTCTGAGGTCCTATTGCGGCACAACTGAAGCTACTTCTATTAAAGGAGAAGGAAAAGATAGCAGATAAATATTTTAAGGCAAATATGGAAAAAGGGGTAGGGTGGGATGAGTATGAAGATAAGTGTAGCAGCCTTCCTGTTATTTTTGATTAGCATTTGTAATTTAGGATATGGATCCGAGCAATCAACAAGAATATTACCAAGACTAGCTAAACAAATTCTCTTCATGGCAATGTTTACTGATGTCCTCGAATAACCCTTCCATCGTCAAGATTATTTGATATAAAAAAATTCCAAATAATTATTTAAAAATATGCTTTAAAATTAATTCGAAATGAATTTCGGATTTAACTATTTACAATGTGAAAGTCAATTGTGTGAATAAATTTAGTTTACAGCGTCGTTTGATATAAGAATGATTTCTGAAGGGATGTTGAAACCCTTCATTGTACTGTAGATGAGTTATACCATGCGAAAATTGCCAATAAAAGAAAAATAAAAACAATTCTTTGTGTTAAAACCAAAATGACTCATGGATAAGAATATTATTATATATATGTATATGTAAATTATACACTCTCCAGAAAAAGAAGAAATCAAGTTATTGTAAGTTGCTAAGAGGTTACACGAATTTATATAAAAAAAAAATAATATATTTTTTTCAAAATATTTACGGTTTTAAAGATTTACATTTAAAAAACCTTTTCTGAAATTTTCAAAGGAAAATATTTATTGGGATTTGCATTTTTGGTGACTAAAAAGAGACCCTGTATTAGATAATACAATACCTAAATTATTGAAATGGGAGAAAAGTGAAAGTAAAACAAAAATAATAAATATTAATTATTAAATAACATGGCCGCAAACACGAATTATGTAAAAGTTAAATTTGAAAATTTGTTGAACGTTTTTTTTTTTTTTAAATCAGTGAAAAACAATTAATTTTTCGTTCAATATTTGTCCTCAGAAACAAAAATCGCTTTTGCGATTGGTGTATAAACTTTCTCTTAGGAATACGTAGTCTCTTTCATTAACTGGCTAACCATATAACCAAACCAAGTGCGGAGTGGCATTTCACCCGTTTCTTGCTTAGGATATTCACTGTTTCGTCGAGCTTCAGCCATCGATTAGTTGTGTATGTGTTGCGTTTGTATGTCGGTTAAATTATTTATAGGTGATATGTGTTTATTCGTCTATTTCGAGAAAGGACGAAAAAATACTTTCCACTCCCCGAGGACTTGTTCAAAAAGTAATCATTTCTATGCTAACGGCATAAAAGAGACTGAGAACCAAAAATGGTACCCTATTTCTTCTGTATCATTATCATTATAGAATAACAAAACTATCTCATCATCAATAATTTTCTTGAGAGAAAGAGCAGTCAACCAAGACCAAATCCGAATAGTCTCAATGCAATTGGACACGAAATTGGTATGGTCTGACAATTGAAACAAAGCAATGTAAAGCCCAAGATGGTAGGTAAGAGTGAATGATCAAAGCCTCGGTCCCAATTGGGGTTGGTAGTACTATTTTGATGCACCATAAGCTATAAAGTTTCATTGTTACTTTCAAGCCAATTAGTGCTCTCAATGAAACTACATTTTCTGAAATGGTTTTTGTGGAAAGGCATTCGGGGCTCGGTGTCAAGTGCATTTCAAGTGCTTTGTGTCGAATTTGAGATAGAGCTGGAGATGCATAGAGAAAATTAATTATTGTTTTCTTATTAACTTCACACTCTCCGAAGAACCGATTACTTCTTATGGCGGCTGTATGACTATATAACTTTCTCTAACCTTTTTAATAGCTCCTTTGTTCTGGTTATGCCATATCTGCGATAGATCTATTGCGCTATTTTACGCTTGGTTTTGGATTTTTATCTGTTTAGAACTATTTGCTTGTCTTTCTAACACATTAGTCCTGCTTCAAGTTCATCAAAAGATGATCTGGGCTTATCCTAGTAATAAGACATTTCTTTGCCGAAAACGTTCATGTGGCAGGGAGCCCTGATAATGGAGAATGCGAGTTGAGCCTGAAACCTTCTTGTAATTATTGATGACGCTTGCATTTTTCGTGTTCAATAAACCGAGTGTATAAGGAAGTTCTTTAGTTACACATTAGCGCTCTACAGGCCTTTTCAATACATAGTACTTCCGTCTGTAAGAGATTTGGGGATCGTCGGAGCATTCGATAAGCTTCACGCACGGATATAATCGCTTTCCTTTGTACACTTCTAAAAAAATAGTCAGAGGGGCTTGACTAATTATTAGAATCAATTTAGAGATAAGCAAACTGACGTTATCTCCACCGACTTCAGTAAGGCATTCCATAGGGTTAATCACTCGATTCTCATTCATAAGCTAGATCTTCTGGGCTTTTAACCAAGATTTGGAGATTAGGATGGACCCTAAGCTCAATTTCCATCTTCGTACCAATCAATACGACTGTCTTAAAAGCTAAAAATGCTTTTGCCTTTGTCAAAAGATAGTCAAAAGAATTCAAAGACCCTTTTTTAACTAAAGAGCTTTATATGGTTCACTAATATGGAACCCGAATTCCGATTCATTCCGATAAATTGGAATCTGTTCAAAAACAATTTTTACTTTTTGCCTTAAGACATTTTCCCTTAAAGCTTATGAATCTGCCTACTCTCGCAAGTCGTAGGGAAATGTTAGGCGATTTGTTCGTAGTGAAACTTCTTAACGCATCAACTTGTAGTTCAAGGCTGTTATCAGAGGTAAACTTCAAATGTTAAAGTCATGTTAAGTAAACTGTTAAAGTCATGTTAAGCAAATTATGAATTGAATAAACCCGTTCACCGATTGTATTTAATTTTAAATTTTCATTTCAGCCCCTTCAATCTCTCAGACTCGCTTTGTAGCACCAAAAAAACAATTCTCACTTCTCTGAACAATTTAGTTTTAAAATTCCATCAAAACTAATTTTATTTTTTCTGTAGCTCAAAAGTTTTCGATCCCGACGCTTAACAAACGCTTCCAAGTCATGGCTCGGCATATTCCGTACGTTATGCGGATGGCGGCTGCCGTGTCAGTTGGGCGGGTGGAGGGTATTCATTGGGCTTTTTATTACTATTATTATCATAATATATCAACAGCAGTGTTTACTAAGACGTTTCAATCTGTTTACTATGAAAAATGTAAAGCTAGAGTCATTCTGAGAGGATTTTCAATAATGTAAAATTTTGGCCTTTTTAATAATTCCTTCTATTTTTGACTATATTTATTTTATTTTGTTTTCTATTGCAAGCTTTCGGAAAAACCGTTATGCCCTCAACGTATATTCGCAAAAGCATGATGATATTTGTCTTCTGTATCACTTCAAACATTTTTTTTTTGGCAATTGGCTACCTTTCAGAGCATAAGAAATTGACATTTACCGCAGTAATATTTTAAAAAGAGGCGTTGCAAATGAGCGGAAGTAAATGCAACATTTGTGTCGCAATGCTGTGCTCATAAATAAGGTGTCTACAATTGAACTCGAATTGGGCATTGCCAAATAATTTATTTGAAAAAAGAGCAAAAATATGCGAAAATACAGCGAAATAAGTTCAGGAATTAAATATAGTAAAATGCGAACATCAATTCATTCATACAAAGATGCAAACTTATATTTATAACATACTTATTTTGCGTATGAAATTTAAAAAAAATTATAATTAAATTAAAAAATTTTAATCTCAAAAAAAAAAAAGCATTATATCTAATTATACACTGAATTTTTTAATGGATTCAAATGAGTTTGCTTGAGAAGTCTGTTAAAATTAACATGCCACTGTAAGCGTCAAAACACGGTAATGTTAGGCCAAACAGATTTATATGTAGAATTGGCCGTGAAATCTACACGTTCGTTATATGCTGATGAAATTATATTACACATGTCGGGGAATGTTAAAAGCAGAAAACAGCAGAACTCTGTTCGTGCAACAAATATTGTAATGTAAGTGGTTCTGCTGTATCTTAGAGGCCGTACAGTGAGATATATGAAACTGTTAAAGAGGCAAAGCACTGTTATAACCACAGTGAAGTGTTAATAGCAAAACATGATTTCCAGCATATGGTAACTTGAAAACGGAGAGCGCTCCAACAGCGCCATCGTGTTCTAGGAGTACGAAGTAAACAAGTGAGCGCAACAGACTGTTCTCTATTGCACAAACTGTCATTTTCGGAGCGTTTGTCTCCGACTAAAGTACATGGCACGGATAGAAGTCACAAGTATTCTGAAGTTTTATTCCAGTCAATTAGCGTATTTATTGTGTGATTATTGTGATAGTTAGCAATGAATAAAATCACAAGGGTTGTTGCACCGAACAAAATAACTTAGAAAAATAAAATTATATAAAGTAACAATATGAAATAAAAAAAAATTAAATAAAATAAAATAAAATAAAATAAAATAAAATAAAATAAAATAAAATAAAATAAAATAAAATAAAATAAAATAAAATAAAATAAAATAAAATTAAAAAGAAATATTTTAAAGTTAATTGAAATGAATAAAATTAAAAAAATCAAAATTGAATAAAAATAATTAAATTAATTGGGAAGGCTTCAATTTTATTTGGACACAAATTTATAAAATGACGCATATTAGTTGCATTTATTTTTTTAACATTCAATGAATGTACGAAAAAACAATATTTCGCTTACAATTAGTTTTTCGACTCACTTTTGTAAAAAACAAGCTTTAGTTTTTCCTTTGCTAGGTTAGACTTCATTATTTTGAATATTATGTATGATTTGTTATTGTTTATATGTTTGGTCAGGCCGCCGTTAGATACCGCAGTGAGCTTCGATTGCGAGCCAAATTACTATTGTTGCACTCATTTATCTTTGGTGCGCAGTCTTTATTGTGTTGGCAACGCAAGATTGTGCTTAATATAATCAATTTTGTTTATGGAAATACGTAAGCACTCAATATATTGTTTTAAAAGAGTCGATGCTAATTTGTAGATAATTGCTTTCAATAAAACGCATAATTTCTTGTTTAATTGAGGAGAGATTATTTGCTTTTTTTTGTTTTTTTCAAAGAAAATTTGATAAATTGATATTTTGAGAAATTCAAAAAAAGTTTTCATTAGCAGTAAGCTAAAATAAAAAATATTTACTTCTGATAATGGTGGTGCTCAGAAGCTGAAAGTTATTAGTTAAATCATTTCTAAATTTAGGGAACGAAAGGAAAAATTCACTAAACAACACATAAATAAAATTTAATGTACTAGAAAAGAAAAGTCACACTTACTACTATCTAAAGAGTAGTATGTCTATATTAAGGATGTCAACTTGTGTTTTCGAAGGACGAAAATGCAACACAACATCACAACTGCAACAACAAACAAATATACATATTATGTTGCAAATAGATGAATAACACTAGAAAATGAGATAAACTGAAAGGAAGAAAGTCAACAAAAGACAAAATGCCATTTTAGTCAAAAGCAGAGAATGAAAAAAAACACACATACAAACTTAGAAATGAGCAACGCATAGAAAGTTGTGCGAAGAAACACAAAATGTTAGAACCAAAAAAAAAATAAAATAACTGAGTCTGTATGGCTTGCGGTAAGCACAGCAATGGAACGCAATGACCCCCCAGCCGACTACCCAAAATAAGTGCACAAAATCTACCGGAAGTGACAGAGAAAGACAATAAAAGTTGAAGGACACATTTTCGAGAATATATGAGCATATAATGCAATTCTCGTGCATAAGTGTGTGTGTATGTATGTATCCTGCAGATAATAGCAGACTTGTATGCAAAACTTCTAGTAAAATACCAGTTTTGGAGACGAAATCACTCTAGTTTGTTATAAACTAGAACTATCAAGTATTTCACTCGAATTCTTCTAATATTGTCCAGTAATATTTAGAATAGTTTGCAAAAGCTTTGGTATTCGAACTAGTATTTTGCTAACAAATTCATACCAGTTTGTCGTTTTGCAAAAAAAAAAATCAGAAGTCTTCAGTATCGAAAAGCTCCGACCACATATTATTAGATTTTCCGCTACAACAACAACAAAAAATTATTGTGGTGTATTACATATTTTCCAATTGTAAAGGTTTATGAACAGCCCTAATGAAGCTTAACATATATATATATCGTTAGTTGATCCACTTGGAAAGAAATAATGTACCAAAATTCAATTGAAGTAAACCCCAAGTGCATTTTTTTCACATAAGTCGGTATCTAACCAACTATGCGTGAGAAATATTTTTCAAACCATTCTCAAATCTATCTGAAAACCGAAATCAATCGAATTGGGTTTTGACTAGTAGGATGCAGACTGGTCTAAGACAACCCAGTTTTCAGCTGGATCAACGGAACAGTATTTTAACAGTTATATATGGTATATAAATAGTATAAAACTGAAGCATAGGCTGACAATGACAGTTCGTAGGTCATCGCTGTATTAAAAATACCAATTCCTTACTTGGAGAATAGATGAAAGATGAACTATTTGGTGTAAAAATATTCCTTGTTTACAACTAGTATTTTTCTCTGCAGAGTTAGAGAAGCAAACTAAGACAGAATCTCATTTTTGTCGAGAGTTTTTGTGCTGAAGGAGAAAAGAGCAGTGTTAAAATATGCACATTGATTTAAACATATAAGAGCTTACTCTGCTCTGTCACTTGTTGTTTGTTCTGACCATAAGGACACAAATAATGGCTGAAGGATATGTGGTTGAATGCATCAGTTGCAACGAAAAATTGCTATCGGCAGGTTATGTTGCTATTTTGCGGTAAAATTTCTTTTGAATAAACTCTTGAATTTTTCTTCCTCTTCTCCTTCTTATTATTTTTATCTTCTTTTCTCCACTCAATCGAAATTGCAACTGATGTGTGCTAAAGTACACGTGACAATGTGCTGTTGAGAACTTTAACTTGAGTTTGATTGGTGAAAATTTGGTTGCGATGAGTGTAGCACGATACTAAATTACCGAAAAATAGTCGCACGCAAATTTTTTTTTTTTCGATTTTAATTTTAGAAACATTATACCTCTTATCGATGATATCGCTTTTTTTAGGCAAACTCAAAATTTTTATATTTTTCAGTTTCAATTTTGACTTTGACGTCATTTACGTGGCTATACGCCTCCATTAAAAAGGCATGTTCCCACAGCCACAGTATCAACTCTAGTATTTTCTAATATCTAAGCATGCGCCACCGTTAGCATATTATGATCACGCACTTACATTGGCGTAATATTGTTGCGAAAATGCGAGGCAAATTTCAGATGAAAGAGAGAAGGCGATAACTAGTACATTCTACAACGATAAAACGAGAACCTTCGATGGCGAACAAGTCGATTATTCTACACTTTCGTCTACGAGTAGCCGACTGCTACATAAGGGCGACACTCAGCTGCCAAGTCAAGTTAGTTACAAAGTGAACTCGTTGGCGTCAACATTAGTATAGAGTACAGCGGAATAAATAATCCGTTGCGTTGGAGATTACATTTAAGTAAAGTAAATTGTGAAAGTCTTATACAAGTGATTGTAACTAGTGAAGTGCATTGTAGTTGAATTGTGAATTACTGAGTAAATAAAGGACATTAGATAAATTCTTTAGAACGAAAGAAACTGCGAATTAAGTTGGCGATTTTTCATTTAACAATCCAGAGATCGTACCCGAAGGATTCAGAAAATCATCGAGATTTATACAGCAAAATCGTAACAATATAATAGGGTTGTCCAAAAATGTCAAATATTTGGAAAAAAAGATTTCTTTACTTAATTCATTGAAATTTGCCTCTCGGCGCTAGAAATTTCAAGTTGTCATATCTTTTATGCAAGAGAAATTTTATTAAAGAAAAATCCAAAAGATTTTAAGAAAATTGATTATAAGGTACATTCAAGTCTATATAGATATCTTTTTGAAGGAGCCTCAATAGGGATAAAAAAAACATATTTAGGCTGTATATACAATAGAAACTTGTTTCTACATATATAAATATTTAAGAAGAGTAAAATTGGTGAACAAAGAATTCATTCGGAGTAACTTTTCCTAAAATTTTGCATTTTCATATGGAAAAAAATATAAAAATCCTTACAAGAAAACGGCTTTTTATGCGAAGGCTTTTATAATCTGGGCTTAGAGAAACAAATAACGGAAAATAAAATAATGGAAAATAGCTTTTTTGTTTGACAAAATATTCCCCAGTAAGATTTATGAACTATTAATAACACAAAACTCTCCGTTGATATGTAATATCTTCTGTTTATATCCTGCAAGCGATTTTAATAAATTTTAAAGCGTTTCTAAGGATCCTTATCTCCTTCCAAAGTCCATATAAGCCCACATATTCTCTATTATGTTAAGAATATGGCTTTAAGTTGGCCAATCCAATTTATTAACATCCCAATCGCTTTGCTTATATGATTTGGAGCATTATCCTGTTATAAGAGAAAGTCTCCAAAACTAAGTTTTTGTCCGGAAAGAAATGCTTTCATAGGACTATCCATTGGTACGGAAACACCCATTCTCATTAAAGCACACACACCGCAGTGGCACCACCAGGTTCGCTTAATGGTCTCACTTTCTTCCGGGCATTTTCAGGAAACCTAGCTGAATATAGCATACTCTCTGTTGAAAAGTTAATAGATCCCGTAACTTGTACGAGTGAAGAGGGATATGCGGAGGGAAATTGCTTTTAGCTGTTTTTGGTGTATATATTCCAGGAGGATGAATGAAGTGTGAAAAAATTATTTAGAGTAGCTTTTCCTGAAATTATCCAAAGGAAAACTCCTGCAAGGTCTTTCGAAAATATTTGGTACTCAACTTCACTACAGAAGAAATGTTTTCGGTAACAAACACACATACATAAGATGAAAGCATGTATACCATCTATATTCGAAGAGCAGAATGCTACTGAAGAAAGATAGACAAATTTTGTCAACCAATAGCTCCGCTTTTAGACAAACTCTCCGAGCACTTTGCATGAATGACTCCGTGTTTAAAGAGAACTACAAACATTTGATTTTTCTTTTATTCGATTTGTGTGCTTTCCTAAGTTTGGGCTATCGAAATCTCAACATTTGCTGATTCATACGAATTTCTTTTTTGTTTCAACAATAGCATTGTTGCTGTTTTTATTGCTGACAAAAATTGATGGTGCTGCTGCATTCCTATCGACTCAGTTTATATTGCCGTTGACAATGTCCCTTTGAATTGTTGACTGCACATTGGACAATCAATGTTGACTGTTCGTACTCATAGCCACGGTTTGCATGTGTAGACTGCCATGAGTGTGCTTGTGGGTATGTTCTTTTTGGAAAAGTCAAGCTGGTATGAAAAGTATTAGTTAAGACTAGTTTTTTTGAAGCAAAATCATACCATTTCATTCACACCCGCCATCTGCTGTGAGTTTAGTTCTATAAAAAGCTAATTGAAAGCGATAGCCGATTGATGAGAGACTCTCAGTGTCATCCCTACAGGGTTCATTTACTGGCTCATACGTATATATATACAGTGAAACATATCGAAAGTCTCTTTTCATTTACTTCACAGACATGTTTTTACAAGGGCACTCAAGTTGAGTAAGAATGAACATAAAACGCCTAAGATTTAGTATAGATTAGTCATTTGGAAAGATTCGAAAACAATTTAGGTATTGTGTTGATGACATTTAGGGAACTGGTACGAAGACAGCTGACTGGATGTTTACCGAATTGGTCCTATTTATCACAAAGTAAGCCGCCCATGCGAAGTTAAACATATCGGGATTATCCTAAACAGTAAAATCGACCAGGTGCAGAATACGATAAAAAGATCGGGAAAGAATGTAACTGTACTTTACGCTTTCAAATCGTCGAAAGTAAACAGAGGGAATATTATATTTAATAAAGCTTGGATTTATACAGCGAAAGTTAGACCAATAGAATTATATGGCATTGCCGTATGAGAACTGCCATCGAATCTCTCTAAAGTACTGCTAGCTCTCTTCAACTTCAACCTCGGAGGAATTTCAGTATAGGTTACGCTAAAATATTATCTCTTGCTGAAGTGACGAAGGATTGCAACACCACCAGTATGTGTTTCTACAATCTCTTTTCCACGAGAATTATGAACTGTATGTAATTCAGGACTGAATGGGAAAATACAAACTCCTAGACGATTCAAAGCTCATGGATAAAGTGGTAGAAGTTATCCGCTCTCTGACGTTCTCAATAAATATGAGACTATCAGAGCTCTGCAGCGTCTTCTGTGGTGAATGAGCGAATGAGAACACGTACGCAGTGTCCACGTTGTACGCGAAAAAATCTAAGGAAGGAAGGGTCGTTTGATCACTACCTCTGCCACTGTCCGGCCTTGATATCTGTGCACCAAAAGCTCCTCGGGAAACACATTTTTGACTGTCTCCCTGACGGAGCACTGCGCTACAGCACAAAAAGCGAAAACATTCTGTGAGCGGATCTTCTAGTTTATTTTATTTTTCAGTGAAAATAAGTCCAACAAAAACCTTACACCCGCCCACCCGACAAGGGAGGCGGCATCCGCATAACGTACGGAATATGCCGAGCCATGATTGGGAAGAATTTGTTAAGCGTGGAGACTTAAAACTGTTCAGTTACAGAAAAAATAATTATTTAAGAGATGAAATTTAGTTTTTATGGAATTTTAAAATTTAATTGCTGAGAGAATTAAGTATAGTTTTTCTGATGCTAAAAATTGAGTTTGATTTTCTAATAAGCTCTCGACCACAGTGGTCGCATGACATTTTGTCGGTGGAATCAACTAGAGTGGAAATACTTAGTTTACCACAGATAAGAGCCAGGAACTACTTGTTGATCCGTTAAGAAGTTTCATTACGAATGATGCGCCCGAAATTTCTATACGACTTGCGAGAGTAGGTAGATTCAGAAGCTTTTACGGTTGACATAGGGGAGAAGATTTGTCGTAGAGTTCCATCGAAAATGTCTTAACGTCAAAGCCATCCAAGTCTTAGTAACTGATAGAAAACAAAATAAAATAAAATAAAATAAAATAAAAGAATGTAATATATGTTAAAACAAATTGCTCGTGAAGAAAATTTTAAACCAAAAACTATCCAGTCACTTACGAGATTTTTAAATGAGAGCATCAACCACCAACGGAGCGCAGAGCAGATAGACAAATAATCTTGAATTTTCCACGCGTATTTTCTTCCGTTCTCGACTCATTCGGCATCAATGAATAAATAGTTGAAAAATGTCATTTTCACCACACGCCGACATTGACATTCCCGTTACAGTCTTTCATTTTTTGCCTAAGTGAGGCTGACGCGTCACTCTGTCGCCGAACAACCGCATACCGCTAGTTGATGGCAAGACCTCATTAACCTTCTACAGAAATTTTTCTGACTAAACATATATATATATGTCTGTGCTAGTGGCAATGCGAACACAAACATCGATATCAGTTGCGCCATCACCGAGCTGAAAAACTATTTATGAGCCAAATTGACACTCGGTTTAAATCGGCAAGCGGAAAGTGCAGGACAAAGTGGTTCGTATGCAACTCTACTCAGTCACTCTGTTGTTGTCTAGATGACGGGATTTTAATACTCACAAGTACATATAAAAAAAATGTGTATAAATTAGACATATTTTCTTGCTGTTGTTGCAACATTTTTATCCGTTAAAGGGAGTAAGGAAATTTTTAGAGCAGAAATGTAAGGCGACCGTAATAGGTGAGCGGTTAGCATTGCGTACTACCATTCCGATAGCCAGGGTTCGAGTCCTAATTCAACCAACATCCAAAATTACAGAACATTCGCCTTTTTAGCTGACGTTGCTCATCGTATCTCATCGTATTAGAGTGTCTAACACCAAATTAAGGGTCTTCATAAAAATCCATGGGCCGTTCAGAAAGAAATTAGTATAAACTATAGGCGCTGTACTGGCACTTGCGGCTGGGAATGTCTACGATCATTGTTTATAAAGATATTTTGCTACGACATTTAGCAAAAATCTATTCGGACATAAGTGCTCGATCACTTAGCACTGCTTAATATTACTTTTCCTGAAGAGCCAGTGGGTGACTTTA